GGACTCCGTCAGCCATTTTTCAAGACAATCCGTATGTACAAGACCAACGGTACCACGACATCTGCCATCGTAAATATTATTACTCCTTTTATCTTCTTTGATGGATGAGAGTTTTTTTAAAGAAAATAAAAAGAAAAAAAAAATAAGAAAAATCCAAAGCGCAGGGATTTTTTTCTTTTTCTTTTTTTTTTTTTTTTTTTTTTTTTTTTTTTTTTATAAAAAAGAGGAAAAAAAATATGGAATAACTGAATGAGAAAAACTTCAAATGAAATATTCAATCTTATGACTTGTTACATGCGACCTTAAAAATATTTTAAAGAGATTTTTAAGGGGTTTTTAAAAGGCGATTTTTAAAAGAAAATAAAAAAAAAATCCGAATAGGAAGGAATTTCAAATGTTTGTAATAATTATATAATTTTTTAATATTTTATTTTAAACGAATTTAAATGAAATTTAAGTAAATAAGTAAATAAATGAAAAATATATAAATGTATAAAATTTTTTTTATATTTATTTATATATATATATATATATATATATATATATATTATATCTAAAAATATATAATAAATAAATAAATAAATAAAGAAAATATTATTTTTTGTTTTGTTTCAAAGGATTCAAAATGACACTAAATGTGATTCGACGTTGAACTTCGATTGGAATCTTTTGTTCTTCTTTCTTTTTTTTCTTTTATTACATTTTTTCTCCTTTTCTTTTTCTCTTAAGAGATACACCGAAGAGAACGAAGAAAGGAGAGTTTTAATGGCAACGAAGGTTTAGTAATAATAATGACGACGACGACGACGATGATAATGATGATGATGATGATGATGATGATTATTATGACGAAGACGACGACGATGATGAGATTAAAGAGAAAGACGGACATAAAAAAATGAAAGAAATGATTATAAAAAAAAAAAAAAAAAAAAAACAAGAAAATTACAACGAAAGGATCTCTAGCAAGGCGGTTTTACTTGCAGGCGGAGATAAGAGGACCAAGATTGGGATAGGAAGAGAACGTAGGCATTCGATTTTGTTTATCCTCAGTATGACAACACGATTGTTTCTTATTAGATCTTAATAAAGTGCCATCACCCATGTGACATATTCTACATATGTCTTCTGACGACGAGCGAGAATCTGAAATGCGAAAGAAATTTTATAAACGTATGTATGTATATATATATATATATATATGTGTACGTATGCATGTACATAAAAAGCTTGGGGAAAAAAAAAAAAAAAGAAGCAAAAAAATCTCGAACGATTTTTTTTTTTTTTTTTTTTTTTTTTTTTTCTATGAAATAGAATTTTTTAAATGAATTTTCTAAATGAAAAAGAACGAAAAAAAAAGAAAATAAAAGAAAAAATGTATATAAATTGTAATGATCGGCCATTTTTTTTTTTTTTTTTTTTTTTTTTTTTTTTTTTTTTTTTTTTTTTTTTTTTTTATACAAAGGAACACTTATCGGATTATAATATGATATTAATAATGTAACGTAAAGGGTCCATGTTACATATCTTCGTCGTGTCCTATCGACGTTATTGCGTTGTTCAATCCCTGATGACAGAGATCGTATCGTATATTTTTATACGGATACACGGACAACGATGATACTCCAATGATGATACGAGGATATAGAACAAAAAGTGAACATGCAACCTTTATTAATATCAGGCGTTAAAATTTTCAACGTGAATGTTGATAACATATGAATGTACGTTCCGTCCAATTGGACTTACAATGTATAATCCACGTATCATAAGCAATATGACAGCAACATCGAACAGTGTTTCTCAACCTTTCTCTTTTTCTTCCTTTGCTCCCCTCTCCGCTACCCCGCCCCCGCCACCCCCCTACGCACCCACCCCCTTCACCTACCACGTTTGAACGAGCCAACAACAAATTTACAATGTTCTGTAATCTATAATAAAATACATTGAGATCAAAATTTGTATCAATATATTTATAATAGATCTCAATTAAATCGAAATCATTCATATATTATTATTTCAAATCTATTAATCTAGGGATAAAATTTGATGAGAATTTTTTGATATAAATAATCAATCAGATAAATAAATAAATCTTATTTGTCTCGATTTAATTCGTAAGATAACAGATATAATTGTAAGAGATCAATTAAAAACATTTTTTAAACGAGATAAGGGATATTAATTGGACTGCCATCTTCCTGAACCCAAATAATAGGTTGAGAAACGCTGATAGTAGGATACATTAGGGTAGAGGAGACCGGGGCTATTTAATAAAGGGACAGGTTGATAAATTGAAATTATCTGGACGCTGTATGTATGTACCACGATCGATCTTAGACGTTTTAATTTTATTGTTTATCCATTCGGTGCGACAGACCGTACATAGATACATCTTTGTACGCTGATAATAAAGGATTTAAATTTGATCAATTAATAAATAATAATAAATTAATATTAATTGAACAAATAAAAACATAAATATTTCTTTATTAATGACTGTATAAAATTATTAAACGTTATTATTAGATTTGATCGCTCATTGAGTCTCTTTTGAAAACAAAGTAATTACATTTTGTTACTTTGTTTAGGTATATTAATTTAACATTTTTTTAAGAGGGTATTTTTTATATATATAACGACTTCCTATGAAATAGATTGATAAGTTTTATCTGAGGGAAGGGAGAGAAAGAGATGGAGAGAGAGAGAGAGAGAGAGAGAGATAGGAAGAAGTATCGATGGAACTTATCAATGTCAAAAAGAGAAAGAAATGAAATCCATAGTTAGTAATAGGTAAAAAAAGAAAAACAATATAAAGAAAAAAATTCATTCAAAGAATTAATAATAATCTCTGAGTGATGAAAATCATTCACAAAATCTGAACAATCCATTAATTGTGATTATTTGATCCTATTCTAATATATTCTAATATATTCGATCCCATTTGATTCTATTCGATTCTATTCGACTTTATTCGGTTCTATTCGGTCTTATTCGATCCTATTCGGTCTTATTCGGTCCTATTCGGTTCTATTCGTATTCTATTCTATTGGATCCTAATCAATTTTATTCGTTCATATTCGATCCTATCAAATTCTATTCGATAGTATTCGTCCTTTCTCTTAAATCTTATTCAATTCTATTTAATCCTGTTATGTCCTTTCTTATTATATATTAAAAATGTATTATTAACGATCAATAAAACAAGATTTTAGTAATATTGACTTAATTGATCGATCACAAAATTATTATTTATTTATTTATTATTATTATTATTATTACTTTCTATATTATTTGCCTACTTATCACGTTTTGATAAAAATTAATAACTTGTAATCTTTTGGGTCGAATCATCAGAGAATAGTAATTATTATATCGACAAAAATACATTTAAAATTCTTTCGGATAGATTTGAAAAATTATTCTAAAAAAAAAAAAAAAAAAAAAAAGAAAAGAAAAGAAAAAAAAACATAAACGTACCGTCGTCGTTTTCTTTCGTATCTTCTGTCGATCTGATAATAATATTTTTTTCGATGATATCTTCCGTCAACGTCGTCCGCGACGATTGCTGCTCGTTGCTCGTCGTCGATGCAATGATTTCCGATTCGTTTGGTTCTGTTCGTAATACGTCAATATCATTATAATAAATGACATCCTTATCGAATTAATTTTTACAATTGATTTTAAATTGTAAAAATATTTTCCGTTTCTTTTTTTTCTACTTTTATCTTTCTCTTTTTCTTTTTTTTTCTTTTTCTTTTTTTCAGTTTGTTTTTTTTTTTTCGTTCCTAACCTATTTCCTCCACGTAAGTACCGAGTGTACGGTCTTGGTCTCGTTGTTGACGTTCATCGTAATCGATTGACATGTAGAACGAATTTGTTTTCAATGACGTGTCATTTTCCGCTTTAAAGGACAACTCAACGCCTATCGTACTTCGAATTTATTTATTTATTTCTTTATTTCTTTATTCAATCATTATTTTTTTTCTTTAGCTTTTTTGTCTTTTTTCTTTTTTTTTCTTTTTTCTCTTTTTTTTTTGTTGTTGTTATTATCGAAGAAATCCCTCGATACGTATCTTCATTGACATGGCGGCTGATAACTATTTCGAAACATTTGACGATGTCCTCCGGCTATCTTCAAGGATTTATTAATAATCTAGATGAAAAAAAAAAAAAAAAAGAAAAAGAACAAATCGTATTCAACGTTCACGTAAAATTGTTCGCTTGAAGTAGTATATTCGTATATTTGATATATATGAATATATATATGATATAGATCTGAAATACTGTTGTACGTTCCTCTATGAACATACAGTGTTTCTCAACCTATCCATCCAATATATATTGCATAGCGTTAAATTTTTAATGGGCCGTGAAATGATAACCGCTATCTTTTTGGCAAATCAAGAAAATTGATTTATATCAAAGAGACTTCCAGAAAATTTTCTCAAAATGTTCTAAGTAGTTCGCGAGCATATGTTTCCAATAAATAATCCGTTAAGTTTAATATATTATACGATGCCTGCAAATCTACTATGTTCTTCAAACTTTTATTTATATCATAAATATTTCAGCCGCGTTACCATTACGTACCAAATGTATTAAGCCGTACGAGAAAAAGATTGAGAAACGGAGCATTAGATCATCGGTAATCAAAAAAAGAAAGAAAGAAAGAAGGAAAAAAAAAATAAAACCCCCATAATAATGGCGAACAATTGAATTCGATTTGCAAGCGATTGAATTTGATGAGCTAGATTATCGATAATCAAAAGCAAAACTATCTCGATAATAATATTGAACGGTTTAATATAATTCGCAAATGGTTGAATTTCATGCGTTAAATTATTTATGATCAAAAGAAAAATCATCGATAATAATCACGAACGATTGAATTTAATTTGTAAATCGTTTAATTTGATTTTTATTAGATTGTAATAATAAAAAATATTTTATTTATTTATTTAATTACATTTTATTATATTATTATTTAATTGAATAATAATAATAATAATAATAATAATAATAATAAAAACCATCGATAATAACGTCGAACGATTGAAATTAAATCTGAAACGATTCCAATCTGATGCATTAGATTGTCAAAGAACAGTAAAAAGAAAGGGGGAAAAGAAAAGAAAAAAAGAAAAATAAAAAAAAAAAGAAAAACCTCAATAACAACGTCGTACGGTTGAATTTAATTCGCGAACGTTTTAATTCAATCCGTTAGATTATGAATAATAAAAAAAAAGAAAAAAAAAAAAAAAAAAAAAAAAAGAAAATAATATCGAACAATTGAATTTATTCGGCGCAAACCGATTGATATTTGTTTAACAAACAAAATTCAATTTGATTTCAACGGAGATTGAATTCTACCGTTGGAGCCGGGTAAAACCCGGTTGGGTATTTTCATTTTGTAAAAAAGAAGAAAAAGAGAATGGAAAAAGGAAAAAAGAAAAGAATCTTGAATGTTTCCTCTGATTGGTGAGAGCAACTAAAACCGAGAAATCGTGACGATGATATGGTCTCAACAGTAGTACATACTTGGCACGGGATGACTTACATCCCGTGGGTGTCGGAAATTTCATCGTTATATTTTGCACGTTACAAGTTAAGAGAGAGAGAGAGAGAGAGAGAGAGAGAGAGAGAAACAGAGAAGCGTTCCCTTTAATACTTCCGCAGTCCCGCTTGGAATAGGTATTTCGGAATCGGTTTCCGGTCCACGGTGGATTAAATTCGTGCAGGGACATAGACCGCCTATTATTAGCTATGTTAACATCGTCTTCGTCATCATCATCATCATCATCATCATCATCATCATCATCATCATCATCATGATCATGATCATGATCGTCGTCTTAGTCGTCGTTGTTGTCGTTGTCGTCGTCGTCATCATCATCATTTTTCTTACCGTGTACAAGGAACGACAATTACCTACTTTTTCCTATTTTTTTTCTTCTTCTTCTTCTTCTTCTTCTTCTTCTTCTTCCTTTTCTCCCCTCTTTTCACGTTCTGCTTCGTGACGAGGAAGAAACGCATCTTAAATTCTAACGTGAAAATAATGCTACATTTCTTTATATGCAATAAGAAAAGAAAAGAAAAGAAAAGAAAAGAAAAGAAAAAAAAAAGAACGCATGCGGTCTACCGTGAATAATTAATGACAATATCCGCTTGGAAATAATTAAATCTTGGAGAGAGAGAGAGAGAGAGAGAGAGAGAAAGAGAGAGACACAGAGAGAGAGAGAGAGAGAGAGAGAGAGAGAGAGAGAGAAAAGAAAAGGAAAGAAAAGTAAAAAAGGAAAAAAGAAAAAAAAGAAAAGAAAGAAAAGAGAGAAGAAAAAGAAATAGATCACTTTGGTCAAAAATTTATTAAACTCTTCGGTACTCTTAAATCGAGACTGTATTATCTACTCTATAATAATAATATTTCACTTATTCGATCTTTATATATATATATATATATATCTTATTTTAATTGCTATGATAAATAACATAATTTGATCATCGTTCTTTGCATACAAATCTATCTAACTTATAACTTTTCCAATGCATTGGGGTGGTTGACGGTAATGGAGATGGGATGAAGTGGGGAGAGAGAAGAGTGGAGCAGGATGAGTTATTATCATTATCAATGAGTTATTATCGATAAATATATTATATATCATCAATATACGAACATATTTTCTCTCTCTCTCTCTTTCTCTCTCTTTCTCTCTTTCTCTCTTTCTCTTTTTCTCTCTCTCTCTCTATTTTTCATGGTTTATTCGTAATAAACCTTGTGTCGCTTTGTCGCATTTAACGCCGGTAAAAGCTTTTGAAACGGCTGCTATTTCTGCCAGGTGGCAACGTAAGTGTTTAAATCGTGTGCGGTACACACAAAGAGAGAGTAAAAGAAAGAGAAAGAGAGAGAGAGAGAGAGAGAGAGAGAGAGAGCTCGCCATTTTCCGCTGGACGTTTTTGGTTCAAGATTAATGAAATGCGTCTGGAAATAGTTTAGGGGATCGGAGGAGTGACGGTGGAGCCATTCGACGAGGAGTTGTGGAGAAAGGGTGGCTGAGGGAGTTGAGGGGAGATAGGGTGGTAGCTGGCTGTGGGACATTGAGAGGGTTTGAGGGGGGAACTGCTGGTATAGGTCGACGAGCTTAGGTAGCGTGCAACGCGCTATGTTAATCTCCTTCTCTCCCTCTTCTCTCTTGGGTAGACACCTAACACGGTTCGCGCACATGCTCCTGTATGTACCTACCTACCTATCTATCTATGTATGTATATATGTATATATGTATGTATGTATGTATGTATCAAACGTTCGTACCTATGTACATATCTATATATGTATTTACGTAAAGAAGCAACGAGACAAAACGGCTATCTCGGTCCTCGGTTAAGCGCGCACGATCCGTATTAAAACAGACTGTGGTAGAAGTTGGTCTTCGAAACTTTCCGCCGTTGTTAGAATTTTTTTTTTCTTTTCTTTTCTTTTTTTTTTTTTTTTCTTTTGTTTTT